AGTATTCCATTTGTGGATGATATTGAACTACTTGAAAAGACCATACAATTTCGTCATTTCCGTCTGATATGTCTCGTTGTATAGCCTACATTTCAAGTGTGTTCCATTTTGAATTTGTTAACTTTAGGAGACGAAAAATTAGAAGAAGTACCTGAACGGTTAAATTAGAAATTCGAAAAAGGCTGTTAAAGGTGTATGTTTGGAGCACGGCGTTGTACGGGTGCGAAACATGGACAGTGGGCGCGGCGGAAAAGAAACGGTTAGAAGCCTTCAAAATGTGGTGTCATAGGCGGATGATGAGGATAACGTGGGTAGGGAACGTTAAAAATAAAGAGGTATTAGAAAGAATAGGAGAACAGAGGACTCCATAGAAGTCAATAAGAAATAGGCGAAATAGGTTAGTAGGACACCTTCTCAGGCATGAAGGTCTAGTCAGAGACATATTAGAGACAGAAACGGAAGTTAGGAGGGGTAGAGGTAGACCTGATTAGATTACTGTTCGCAAATAGTTAAGGATGTGGGCTGTTCTAGCTCTAGGGAAATGCGAAGATTAGCTCAGGATAGGAAAGAGTGGAAGTACGTGTCCAACCAGTCTTAGGACTGACGACCCTATGATGATGAACTTTTTAATTTACGTTTGTTCATATGAGCAAAGTATTTAAGTCGATTTTTATACGTTGTAACCTAAGATTAGGACAGAAGAGAACAAGATCAAAGGAAAATTTAAATATCCTGTGTACAAACATACGATATCGAAAGGCTTACATAATAGTTCTGCCTTATAATCGAACGGTCTAATAATAGTACGTATAATATGTACTTAAAATTAGGCACAAGTAGCTTACATCAACATAACGTACTTACTTTATATGTATTTGTACGCTTATTGAAGACGTAAAATTTTCAATTTCATCTAATTATAGAATTTCCTGCCTAAATGATAAGATAATAGTTTATAATTATTAGTTAGCACCATGTCTGACATACTGACTGAGTTTTGTGAAACAACACTACTATCACTATTTGCAGAAATAACCCGGAAGTATACCACGCGTGGTGCGGAAAACAATACCAGCAACGAAAACAATAAAACCGATACGATTTTAAGATTTCACGTTCTCTATTTACAATAAATACGCAGAAAAATAATAAGAAATGCTTCAAATTATACCTACTGGAACTGATCATAAATGCATCATTCTTGAAACTATTATCACATTGTCTTATCAAAATCTGACTGAATTTTCTAAATGAATTTTAAATCATAGCACAAATTTCGGAAAATTCATGATCTTTAATAAAGGTCTAGAGCAGCAGGGAGCTTAGGAGCGGCAACATCACCTGCACAATTTCCTTTTACCATTAACCTATTTTCAATTTTTAGCTTCAGCCCTTGCGCCTCCACCTTACCTCTCCTCTCAACCGTTTTTCTCTACCAGCTAGTAATGCTGGTGGGCGGGCAGTCCCTCCGGACTATGCCGGAAGGTAGGGCGGAAGGCCCTCTTCAGCCTGCTTTCAGGAATCGTGGGAATGGGTGGGTGGTGGTTCGGGTGAGAAAGATGAGACGGACGAAATGAAGACAGAAGAGAGTGAAAGATTATCTGTGGAATATTACTGCCTCAGCATTTGCCTAAGTGATCCAAGGAAACCACAGAAAAACTTGGACCAAGGCAGACGGACCCGGAATCGAACCGGCGTCCTCCCGAATGCTAAGCAATGATCTAGACCTCTAGGCCATGCCGCTCGGTTTTCTCTACATTCGAGCTAAAGACTATTCCATCATTTGTTATCCTTTACAGAGACAGCAATTGATAAATTGGTAAAGTCTTTAGCGGTCAGTAGTTGAACTGATGCTGTCCTGATTCGGTTCTAAAGGTCATCGTGGGTTGGAGTCACTTCCTAACGTTTTGCTAGCACGAGTCATCCACGTCCAGCTTCGAAGATAAAAGGGCCTCTGAAGAAGCTCGCCATTCGAGCTAGCGAAACTTTAAGAAACAATATCAATCGACGATGTCCTTTCGACATGAATCAGGACAGCATCAATTCAAAGACAGCAATTTCCTAAATTCTCTTGTAATTCTATTATTCTCCAAGCGAGACATTGAACTTGCGTATAATAGACATTAATAGATAGATTAGTATAATAGATACTATTTATAAACATAAACATCGCGTAGCTAAACTATTTTCAAAGCAACTTCTGTTGCCCTGGTAACGAAGACTGCGGACCAAAAGCGAATTTTAACAGGTGTTAAAATGGAGAGACTTCTTCTTTCGTGTCTACCGAATTTGTCATCAGCCACCTTGAACTTGGACACCGTTATTACACGTATAAAAATAAGATACTTTGCATAATATTGTAACACAGACAGTAGCTTCTGTCAAGGACCCACTGAATATCGGCTGCACGGTTTTTTTTTCAACATTTAGCAAACGTCATTGTGAGACCGAGAAAGAAAGTGAAAGTGGGCCGTATTTTTTATTAACGTAATAAAAATACATTGTCGTGACCTCAAGAAGCAAACGCTAATAAATTGGAAATGTTAATTACGAAGTTGTTGAAGTTCACTTTGGAGTCAAGTTTTATATTTTTGAAATGAAGAACTAACGTAATAAACTTGATAAATCATACAATACAATAAAAAAAAATAACTTGTGCCAAAAAATTGTTTCTCCCAAAGAAAGAAAAGATTTCAAATAAAAAAAATACGTGTAATTATACAACACGCTACTGAAACGAAACTTCTTTAAACACACAAACAGGATAGGGGGTTAAGGAATTAGCTTAATGGAATTATTTGTTGGAGTTGCTTGTAACAAACGTTGCATTCAAGCGCGCTGACGACTCAAGCGATCCCTACTACGAACTCGACTACGTGGCCGAGTAGAGGGGGGACATCCGTTGCATGATTTCGTTACACAGCAACTCGCATGAAACAAACTTACTTTCACTACAAAAATAGTAACTCTGGAGAACCTGTGGGGTACTACCCATCTTTCTGCTTTCGAATGATATTATTTTCTCAGACATCCTATATACTCTACCGTAATTTCAACGATATCCATCTGGCAAGTCATGCATTTAGTAACTTATCGTTGCCTGAAAATACAACGGGCGTACACGTGTATTTTGAACGTTAAATGCTAAATTAAAAATTTTAAGTTCCATTGACGTAACGTATCAATACAAGCACCTCGTTGAAACGGCAAAACGGACAGTTCCACAATTGTTTGACGACACAGTAGACACTTAACAAGAACCGCAACTAATTGAAATTATTATCCGTTGCGGAAATTTAAGAAACTTTTACTATTACAACTCGCCTTAAACAATAATTAACAGTTACCTATCTTCGCCATTTACAGTTACACACCGGGTACGCACTGTCGTCCAGAAATGTTATTTTAAACAAATGTTTATGTATTTTCCGTTCTCTTTGACAAGACTTCTTGCACCTGTACAAATACACAGTAGCAGGAAAATTATCCTGCAAGAATTTACTTCCAGCAGCTACCTACTGTTGCTGTAGGTCAATAGTTTATACAGTAACAATTCAATCATTATTCACTTACGAACATGCAAAGATGTCTTGTTAAACTATTATACAAGGTATTCCATATGAGTACCCTCCTTTTTCTCTTTTATTATCCTCCTATTAATACGTACTAGTAATCGCGTTTCGACCAATTCGTTTTCATCATCATCATAAGGTCGTCAGTCCTAAGACTGGTTGGACGCGTATCTCCACTCTTTCCTATCCTGAGCTAAACTTCGCATTTCCCTAAAACTAGAAAAACCCACATCCTTAACTATTTGCGAACAGTAATCTGACCTAGGTCTACTTCTACCCCTCCTAACTCCTGTTTCTGCCTCTAATATGTCTCTGACTAGATCTTCATGTCTGAGAAGGTGTCGTACTAACCTATCTCGCCTATTTATTATTAACTTCTATAGAGTCCTCTGTTCTACCATTCTTTCTAATACCTCTTCATTTCTAACCTTTCCTACCCACGTTATCCTCTGCTTTATATCCCCACTACTCCTTCCGTCCTGACTTATCTGACTTCCTAAATATCTAAAATCAGCCACTTCTTGTAATTTTTCGTCTCCTATCTTTATATTCGCTTTTTCCCTACTTTTTCTTTCCTTGCATACCAGTATTTTAGTTTTACTTTTTCCTAACATAAATTAAAAAGAAAGAAGTACAGCGGATGGGGAACTGAACCTGGGCTACCATGGTGACAGTCGAACGTTCTAACCACTGAACTATTAACGCATCGTATAAAGTTCATGTAACTGAGGTGTTTTCTGCTGGTAAATTTGAGAAAATAACGACACACTGTATTAAAGATTTGTTCACCATAATTTAGCTATCGACACCCACAAATTAATTACAGTGGAATTCGTTTTTTATGACTTCGCTTATACTGATCAACCGCTTAGTATGAAGTAATTGCAGTGTTAAGTTTGGTTTTCATATTCAGTTCTCTATAGGAAAGTTTGGATATAATGTTTCCGTTCAAAAATGACATATCGTTTATTATGACTGATTCTCAAGAAATAATATCCGGCTATAATGACCCAAATGATTAATAATAACATTTTCGCTTATTTTTCCGACCCTTCTTAAGTATATTGATGTTAAAATTCATCGTTATTTTTCTTTTTCTCTTAATAAANCAATTTGTAGTTTTTCTCTCTATTAAACTAAATAACTAACTAAAATAGAAAGTTGTTTATTTTATAAGACTATGCTTTGTATGACGCCCGCTTAGTATGACGTGTTTGTCATTTCCCTTCGATGTCATTGTAAGCGGATTCTACTGTATCTTTAATTCAACTGGTACTGTAGTTACTAAGATCAATTTTATCTATAAACACACAGTATCATTCGAATCCTCTCCATGTATTATGAATACTAAGAAAAGGTACACCAATAATATTAATACATACACATATAAGATTATATATTAGAGCTACTTTCTGAATTTTGACCAATATGATTGCCACATCGAAAATAATCGTCTATGAGAAACAAACAGGCAGACAGACTGTTGTGAGAGGTGTATAACTAACTACAACGATCTATGTACAATATTTTCTGCAAATTACACGAACAGAACCGGCCGTATATAGTAGATTCAGAAGTTACGGTAACAATACCATTGAAATGTTCACACAATACAGCGATCATTAATCTTCAATCGCTATCGCAGTCCTTTTATAACGGCCATTGTTGATAAGTACTTGTACATCAAACACAATAAATTTCAATTATCTATTATAGCATCTTAGAATCACACTTCAGTTCAGCAACAACTACATATACTGAACAGCCGCTAATTGTTTTCTTTTGCTATGTACCTGTAGAGACACGAGAAAATCAAATTCTCGTTATGTACGCTTCATTTAAGAGTATTGATCTTGTCAGTCGAGAAGCATAATGAGGTATACGAGGGTGGATTGATAAGTTTCCGGCCTAACCAAGAGATGACGCCACTAGGCCTACCTTGAGGTGACATTCTATAGTACCATCCTTGGATAGCTTGTAGCTATAGTTTCAGCCCGATCTCCTTGCTAGTGTAGGTTTGACAGCACGCTGAACAAGACGCCTCTGTGGTTTTCGTAAAAATGGAAAAGCAGGAAAATCGTGCTGTCATCAAATACTTTTATTTGAAGG